ATTTTGGTCCATGGAGACTTACGAGAAATGGCGGTAGTTGAGGAGATAGAAACAAATGCCAATGTAATGGAGACAAAAAGCCACTGCCATTTGCAGCCAGCACTCATAGTCGGTGGAAGTGGAAGTAGCCACTATACGAGCCAGGTTCTCATGAAAGCATCAATGACATTTGTTTAAAGCGTGTCTTGTATAACCAAGAGGTTTGTAAATAAATCATTTGTTTGTACAAAAACCGAATTAACTAATTTAATGCTCCTCTATCTACAGTGGGCACATGATAATATATCCATCGTTTATGTGGCATGCACAACATCACTAATGTGTGCATGCCACATAAGCGGTGAACATATTATCATGTGTCCACCGTGAGTAGGGGAGCATTACTGCTTGACTTGCTACTTATGGCAATTCTTTAAAAAATCCGAATTCGTGTTCGCGTCTTACAATTTGGGAAGATTATGCCGTTTTTTAATATGTAGGCAAAATAATCCCATATTTTGCGCCAAATTTGTTCACGTGTTTTCAGTCATGAATGTTGATGGATCTACTCTCAGATCTAGAGTGAACCGGTGGAAATGAGCCCAGATCTGTCTAAATCGCCTTCGGACCGTTGTTAGATCGCGAGAATACTTGTAAAAACTCAATGCCTGAGGGATTTCCAGCGTAGAGCCTCCGACGCTCAAGTCAGTATATGTGAGAGAAATGGAGAGAGATGCTCTGAAAGAGCAGCAACTATGGGGATGAGAGTATAGAATGAAAGGGAGTTAGGGTTTGGGAGTTACCTCAACTCCTTTATATAGAAGCAAAACATTTACCTGAAGTCCCCAAAATACCCTGGCCGACTTACGGGAAATGTCCAAAATACCCAGATCGGTTCGCATTCCGTCCCCCTCCTAGTCAGCATCTAGATTCCTTCTTATCCTTGATAGCTTCATTATGATATGCTGAAGTATATAGGAGTCGCCGGAGGTCTTGGAGCCTCGAGGCGTCCTAAGTCGACTTAGGGTATTGTCGAGTCGACTTAGGTCATTCCCAAACGTCGGTAGATCATGATGCGCCTATCCGTCTTTCTGAGGGAAGTCGACTTATGGATGTCGACTCTGGAGGTCGACTGACAGAGTCACCTAGACCTTGTTAGGCCGGAGACAATTCCCAGGAGATTCATAGGAGGAATCGACTTCTCGGAAGTTGACTCGATGCAGTAGATTAGAGTGGGTCGACTATCATGCCTGCTGCTCGGTCGTCTATTTTGGTTGAACCGTTATGCCTCAGTATGGCTATAGCATTTTGTCCCCCCAAAAATTAGTCGAAGCTATTCTGAGTTTAAGAGTAAATTTGTGGATTGAACAGTTGGCCTAAGTTTTTCCGCATACTGATCTTTACTATACATCGCTATCCGTAATAGAATCCTTATAAGATGTCTTCTTCTCAGCCAATTTCCTTGGTCCCAGTCGTCTTCGTTTGCATCTCGACTCGTGAGCAGTTCTTTCGCTTTACTTGTACAAATTCCCACACACATTAATCGGATAAGTCCGAATTTCCTCTAAAATTTTAAAATTCAAAAAGGTTCTGAGTCTGACAAGACATTTCTCTCTCTCCACCGCTTTGTATTCCGTGCGTCATCTCAACCGTTGGATCTGCTTTTAATCCGAGGGCTAGGGTTTCGTTACTTTGTCTATAAGTATCCTTCATCATCCCCTTTCACCTTTTTTTAGCACATCTCAAATTCTCAAGCTCCCCTTCTTTCCGGCAATAAAAGCACCGCAGGCTCATCGGCGTTCACTTCTTTTTCCGGCACTTCTCAAGCTTTTCAGGACTTCTATAACCATCATCATGTGTAAGTTCTCTTTACTTTTCGATTTATTGATATGCGCAACTTTTTTCTTTTTTGTTTTATGGGTGATATGCTTGAGATTCATAGATTCATCAAATTTTCTAGGATTTTTGGATGATTTTTCTGGCGATTTTTACTTGTTAGATCTTCAATGGTAGAATTTTCGTTTTCCTAAGTGTTTTTCGTTCGTCAGTCGATTTGACATGGAAAATCAACTCTTCTGCTTTTCTACGAGTTGACTAATTGTCGACATGGCATTCTTATGTCAAGCCGAGTTGAATCGGGAGTATGTTCCCCTCATTCCTTCTTTTGTTCTTCTATCGAGTCGTCTTGCGTGCTTTCCTCACTTCTTATTTCGTTTGGAGTCGAATCGCAGTTGTAACTATCCTCATCTATTGATTGTCGTTTTCTCTTTCCTTTTTTCCCCTTTTTTTTAGATTCTGCTCCGATCCCGTTTTTGGATCCCTTGCCCGCGAGATCGACAACTACTCGAGTTCCGACTCTGTACAAATAATCTCTATTGGATCGAGTGTCGGCCTAAATGTCGAGCCAGAGAACTCAGTTCATTCCACCGCCTCATCTTTCGGAGTCGACTGGGATGTGTATAACTAAGCATTGCTATCTAGCACACTGTCTGAGGACCCTGAGGCCTCTCGTACTCCGGGGTCTCCTCGACTTAACCTAATCCCTCGAGGTATCCCTCTTAGGCTACTAGATATCCCCGTGTATAGAACAAGTCCTGTACATTCATTAACAATAGCTCCTTCAGGTCTATGACTTTAGCCTGTCCTGTAGCAAAGTTAGCTGTTCTTAACCCCTTTTGTTATGCCCCTGCAGCCGAAATAGATGGCTTTAGGGAATACAGTGGTCTTCCTTCCGATTGGGTGTTGGTCGCCCCTACACCTGGTGACGATTTCAAACGTCCTCCTCGCGGCTGCTTCACCTTTTTTGTAGATCAAATAATGTCGGGACTGCGTTTCCCGATTCAACATGAGCTGCTGTCATTGAGCAACCTATACGATGTGCCAATAAACCAGTTCACTCCTAACTCCATCCGAATAATGGTGGCTTTCATAATCGTCACCTGAATAGTTTTAGGTAGCTTTGTACCTGATTTTTTCCTTTACTGTTACGGGTATAGGTTTAGCAAAGACGCCCATTGTCTGGGTTGTCGTGTAGGTGTATCTTTTCTTGACGACCTCTCTTCCAATATTACCGAATGGAAGAAAAAGTATTTTTTCATTCGACCTGCTCCTGGTCAATATCCTTTCACAAACGAGTGGATCACCAACAAGAAAAAACAACGCAAGCGTCCCAACTCTTCGCAATTCGCGGCTATCCTGGAAGAGTTGAATAAGCACACATGGAGTGCTCGTCGACTGACTAAGGATAGCTCCCTTCTTAATCATGTTGGGATTTGTGTTGGCAAGAGTATTCCTCGACTCTGTGATCCTCGTAAGCTCTTCACTATTTCAGTCTGTCTCGACTTACTACCCGTCATATGATCGCTCATCTCCCCCTTTTATTTATTTGTTCGATGCATATGTGGCTTATATATTTCACTTGTATTGATCCTTTTTCCATGTCGACAGTGAAAGCTTTGGCCCGCTTCGAGAAGAAGAAGGCCCAAGTGGCCGACAAGTTAGCTGCTCCCGTCCCTCCGAAGAGACCTGAGGGAGGTTCGGGTTCTGGTTCCAAGGCTGCGGCAGTCGAGACAACTGCCGCCAAAAAGTCTAAGGTCGTGTTTCCTTCGACCTCTAAGCCGACTTAACTCTCGGATTCCCATTCCCGTAAGAGGGCCCAGGACCAAAGGGACGTAACCCTGGTGCCCAGCTCCTTAAAACGCCAAAAAGGCAAGGAGCCTACGGTCGAGAAGGATGCGGGGCAGTCGTCCCCTGTAAAGGTGCAATTTGTGACCCTGCAACAGCCTTCTCGGCTCTACGACAACCCCGACCCCGTCCAAATTCTAAACTATCTTCATTCGACCCTTCCTGAGGATGACAGGACTCGGACCGATGGGAATCCTTCCCACCGGGCCCGCTATGCAGCTCGACACATCCCTTGTGTAAGTTTTGTTTCTTTATGTTCTCTTTTTTTGTTTTTATCCGAACTACATTGACCTTCTTATCATCTCGTTTATTCACTCTTCTCAGCTTCTCGCCTGCATCCTTCCTTCTATGATCGAGGAGGCGACTTCCCCCCAAACCAACGTCAAGGTTTTGGGGGAAAAATATGTGGCTAAGTGCCAAAAGCTCGAGACGAAGGAGGAGGAGCTCGAGGCCGCCAACACCGTTATTGCTAAGCTCCAATCTGATAAGGAGGCAGCTGTCCAGAAGCTGAGAAGATGAGGGTTGATTTGGCGAAGGCCACCGACGAGGCCATGGTCGAGAGGGAGAATGGGATTCAGGAAAGCCGCAGGACCTTCCTGAAGTCTCCTACTGGTGTTGTCTTCCTCGACCACTACCGTAAGGCTGTGGTCGAGGCATTCTGTAACTCGTCCGACTTCCTCGATGAGCTGGTTCCCACGGCGGTCCAATACTTTGACTTTGCCTGCGACACGCGGGAACAAGCTATGGATCAACCCGACTTTCCCGGGAAAATCGATCGACGGCAGTGAAGAAGACTCTCCCCAACCCTGACGGTTTCCAGGGCGGCGAGGACCTCCTGCCTGGTCGTGAATGGTGGACTGGCCTTGAGGCCAAGGCTATTCATACAGCCGAGCATTCATTCCAACTCAAAGTCCCCCGTCACCCTTAGTCAGTCCGATTGAATTAGTCGAGCCGAGTGGGGATAACTATAAAGAAGAGCCGATCGACGAGAAATTGAAGTGGAGCGACCCGACGTGTAGCAAAGGATGAAGCCTGCCGAGGATGAGGGTGCCGGGATGGAGCCCGTGAATGGTGAGGATGGGGATGGTGTCGAGTGCTGACTCTTAGGCTTCATAGCTTATATCGCTTTGCTTGCTTTAAATGTATCGCTTTTTTTGTATTGCCATCTCAACCTATTTTCCAATGTAAAGGTTAAGATGGCTTCGGATGTAAGAATTTTCCTATAATATAATGCTATCTTTTTATTCAGCTGGTCATTTGTTTGTATTCTGTCGACTCTCATGGTTGATTCATTTTTTTCTCAACTGTTCTTAGTTTCTTATATCGTCATACTATGTCTTCTCCCAACCCTTCTTGCGAGCTGGTCGAAGTCGAGCAACTGTTTTAACAGCTTCTTAGCTGTTGAACAAGTTTTTTGAGTCGTCTTATCTCAACCCTTCTTGCG